TAACATTCCTAACATCTTCCTAACATCTTCCTAACATCTAACACCCGAACCTCCCCAGTGCAATTTGAGGCCATTTTCTCTTGTTCACATGTGTAAGTTTGCCATCACTCAACGGTGTCTTTTCAGTAGTCGCGGTTACTTTTCCTTACACTACTTGATATTTAAACTATTTTAAGAAATGCATTTCACATTGTCCTTGCAGTTGTTTGGTTATGAAGAATACGTTACTGCAATTTTTACTTAAATCACCTGAGAAATAAATCCACTTCATTCAGCTGTGATACTTCAGAGTGTAACGTACTGCCAAACAGACAGCTGAGGTACAAAGTCCCAATTCCCACTGATGCTAAGAGAGTTTGGAAGCTGTGAAATACAGGAAAATTATATTCGATTGTCTCATCTTGGTTCCCTTTTGGACCCCACACAAAAGCACTGAACAAAACTGTCACTAAGCATGCAGCAGAAAAATAAAAGGCTACAACAGGGTACTGAATGTAATTGCTATTCTCACATTATGCTAACATTAATAGAGTTTTTCAGATAAACTCATCTGCCGTTTGAACTCCAACTGCATTAAGCTGTATGAACAACAAAATAAATTATTGGCTTAAACACAAGCAAATGCAGATCTTCATCTCACATCTTTGTACTGTTTCTAGTTACTTTTAAACAGATTCTTAGAGGATTCATGAAATTGAATTACAGAAGAACAGAATGAGGAATCAGTACTTATTATGCCTTCCAAATTTATTTTATCCTGTGTTTGCAATGCATAATTGACACTTCATTCTCATACTCATGTGGATCTCAAGATATAAGCGCTCCAAAAAAGTGCTGAATGTACCGTGGAAAGTTTCATGAATGGTATATAACATGTCATTTTTATGTCTTTTTGTTATAATGCTTCCTGATCACTTGATCATTTTTTTTTCAAATGCCAAGCTAGTCCTTAACAAGAAGTGAGTTACATACTTATTTAGAACAAGCCTAAGATGGGAAGTCTCCTACCTTAAATCATTTTAAGAATCAAAATACCTAAAATGTCTTCCCTGGAGAAAAAAAAAAAAGAAAAAAAAAATCTGTGACTTGTATCTAAATGTGTGATCGAGGACAATTACCATCTTACCAAATGTAAATTTTTAGATTCAATAGCGCAAAAGAAACACATGATAAATCCCTGTAAGCTGCAGTGTATTATATTAGCTTAATTATGAAATTGCAACAAATAATTCCTTTTACAAATAGCAATGCAGCACCTTTGAACAGGCAGTCAATCAAAAAAATAGATCTGTTGAAATGAAGAAAATGGTCCTGTGTAAGTCGGAGCGTAATTATAAATCAACTCTTTTGTTTCTTCTTCTTTAGTGGGAAAGCTGTGCAGGCTCTTCCGGGCTGTAAAATATTTTAAAAATACAGATCACTTTTCTGTTATCATCCTTGATAACTTCTTTCTTGGCAAAGTAAGTTACGCTGTATAGCATAAAAGTAAACAGAATTACAGCAGCTATTATGTAGAGAAACAGGACAAGAAAGCTGGTCACTGTAGTATTTTATTACTGGAGATGGAAGTATTTCTATATTAAAGTCGAGACTATAGAAAAGAATTTGTGATACACTGGCAGCTCTCACAATACTAGGAGAAATGCATCAGAATACAGGACTCCTGAAAGCTGCACTGCTGGTACAGACTGATTTGGTGAGGATACCAAAAGCTGGTTTGATTTGTCATGGGCACAACCCTACACAAGTTAAAATTAGCAGCAGATGGGTATGAGAAAGCATTTCAACAGAAGGTTTAGTTAGTAAATGATCATACCTACTGAATATACATATATATGTCAGTTGGAAACAGTTTGCCTCATCCCTCTGCAGTTTATTTTCAATACTGAAGAAGGCATTCTGCCTTAAATAGCTTAATAAAGGAGGGAGGGAAAGGGGAAAATCACCTGTAACATTATGATATTAAATAGGATGATTTGTCCATTGATTTAGGAGGTGAATAGCTATCCAGGAATACCTTGTGAATCAATATATGAGATGGGGGCTATATACATATAAGCTGACTGACATAGGTTTGCTCTACTACAATTCAAGGACAACAGATGCAAAAGCTGGTGACCACATCAGTGTGGCATTAAGCACAAGATGTTTATGTGCGTCTCCACACGTGTGTATTTTTAACTATCTACACGGGCACAGATCCATACATATACTATGTCTCAGCATAACTTGCTAGCGCGGGGGTGGCGCCTGCTCTGCCACATTGATTGACTTGGCTAGTGGCCAGAACGAGCCAGTAGCAAAGTGCAGACAGACACTAGAGAACACATCAAACAGAGCTAGAGAACATACTGCATCCTAGTATCACTCTCCAAAGGTAAACACACTCAACTTACAAAAATAAAGAGGGAGAGCTGGAGAATGTGTATCCCCGAAGTACCCTATCAAAATTTTTTAAAAAATACAAGAAGTTTATGGATACTGAGAACGAGGAATTTTTCCTGATTTTCCTACCTTCTTGCAAAGCAGAGCAAGACTGCAGCACACAAAAGAGCCTTGAACTTGTGTAAAGCACAGCCTTTGTTCCTGCACTCTTTCTATCCAGGTCAGCACATGTTGTACTGCTTTAAAGCACCATGTGCCTTCTTTGTGCTGTTCTTTTGATCACAGATAGATCTAAAGCTCAAACTCAATTAGGCTACTGCTTATTGACTTTATAGTCTTATTCAATTAGTTAAGACAATTTCAAAGAGTGTCAATTTAAAGATTTCAGGGAATGGAATAAAATGAGTTTGATCACTTCAGATACTTCTCTATTTATTCTTATTTATCATACTTATTTAAACTTATTAACAGCAAATGGACGAAGTATTTTTTTCTTTTTTAAAAAACTATCATTTTTTTCTAGCCTGGTTGCTTACAGCTTCTTAGGGTATAAACAAGTAGCTTAAAAGCTCAGCAAAACAAAAACATCTTGTGCAGCCTGGCAGCTATAAACTATGTTCACCCTTTGGCAGCCCTTTAACACATCTCTGTACTTTGCCCAAGCAGCATCTATAATCTTGGTGCTACAGTTTCGTAAGCAAAGCTAAGAATACATTTAATGCCAGAAACTCAAGTCGCAAGGCTCTGGAAATTACAAATGGAGCGGTTTTCTTCCCCTCATTCCACTTTATTTATGCAATGTAGACTAAAATACTACAAAGATCCCTCAGGATGGTGCAAAGTCATGACTCCTACTGAAAAAAGTTTGCCCATTTCTACTGAAATGCTCAGCCTTTCCATGTCACTTTTACTAATCTATTCTTGGATCAGAAAACAAAAACAAACAAAAAACAAATAAAAAATAAATTCCTTTTTTTATATATAAACCTATAAAACTTGTAGGTTAAGCTTCTCATAAAGCAATAAGAGATGCTGAACTTTGACAGAAGAAATATGAGTCTTTTTCCTCCAAGGATTTTTACTAATACTTCACTCAAAAAACTGACATAGAGTTTTTACCTTCGTTAATGAAGAACTCAGCCATGTAGTATGCTGCTCTTATAGCCAATGGGGAGTGTGGAATGCCTGATGAGTTCTTCCATTCATAAGCATTTTTCTCTGGATGCCACTGGATACCATAAATTGGGTATTTGTAAGCTGCAAGAAACCAACACTTGTCACCAAAGCACATAAGCGACACTTTTGCCTTAAGAGTGATATGCTTAATCTCCTTGAAAAAAGGATTTAAAGTGCAAGTTATGGAAACATCACATTGCCGCCAAAGGAATGAGGGAAATTGCTGTTAAATCAGTATGATGAGTTGATTTCCTCATACAATAAATGAGGTAGAGAGCATCTTAGGAGAGCAAGCATGAGCAAACAGTGAGATGAAACAGAGGCACACTGCACTGGGCTGGGACTAAACCACACTCAGAGGAGCGCAGTACATCTGCCTTTGTGGTACTGAAGGGCCCCACTGATGAAGAGCAACAGCATAACTGGAGATGAACAACAGGTAAGGGAAGGAAGCAGTTATGCTCACTACCTGTGCAAACACAGTAAGACCCTCACAGACAGAGGGCAGGCAGGGCCTATGCTGTGTTAAAAGTAAGCTTGCCTTATGAATTGGTATCACTGCCACCATAGCTCCACAGAAGAGCTTCCTTGTTACAGTCAATATAGTTACAGAAGGGTTGAGGTTAGAAGGGGCCTCCAGAGATATCTAGTCTAACCCCCCTGCTCCAGCAGGGACACCTAGAGCATGTGGCACAGGGTGGCATCCAGGCGGGTTTGGAAGGAGACTCCACAACCTCTCTGGGCAGCCTGTTCCAGGGCTCTGTCACCCTCACAGCAAAGAAGCTCTTCCTCACATGGAGTTGGAACTTCCTTATACAGGAATTCTTTTCCTTACCTTCCATGGTAGACACAAACTCTAGCTGGTCAGCAGTGTTAGTGGTCAGAACATTATAGAAGTTACGTAGCTTCTCATTCCTTGTGAAATTCTGTGATAAAGAAAAAATAAATTAAAAAAAAATAAAAAGGATGTGTTAAATGCTCATTCATTTCTGTTTTTAAACAGAGCAAATGTATTTGTGTTCATAAAATAAAATGATCAAATACCTGCATGGAGAGGCTCCACACATGAAAGTTTGAGGTCAATGGTTCAGTAGCAAGTGCATGTAATATATCATCAGGGAAATTCTTGAATAACCTACTGTTTTTTACAGCTATTACAAAGGAAAAAAAAAGAAAAAAGGAGAGAGAGAAAAAAAGAGATATTCTCAGTTACCAGACTGCTACTGACAGGAGACAAATTAACTAAAATATTGTTTCTATAACATAAAATCATGATTTAGCATGCTGCAGGGAAGATCAGTAAAATCACAGAATCATAGAATCACAGAATGCTTAAGGTTGGAAGGGACCTCTAGAGATCATCTAGTCCAACCCCCCTGCACACGCAGGGTCACCTAGCGCACGTGGCACAGGACTGCGTCCAAGCGGGTTTGGAAGATCTCCAGAGAAGGAGACTCCAGTGGGTTTCCAGCATGCTGTTATGACTCTCCTCCAGTTGCTTTTTGTGACCTGTCCATTCACAATGGCAACAAGCAGCAGAATTCATGACCTCCACACAGTCCTCTGACGGACCAGTCACAAACTCACGGAAGATACCAGCCGAGGCCATATTCCACCTGTGACGCTGAGTGGTACTGCTCTCTCTAAGTCTCTGATTTCAATGCTTGATGCTGTGCAATTAGGAAAACAGTGCTCATTTCCATTCTTATTTAAGAAGCAAGTTGGAAAATTAAAGTTTAGTTGCTCCTCAAGTTTGACAGGTTTTGTACCTGGGTATTTTTTATTCAGTCCACATTATTTGTATAAATTTAAACTATCATATCACTTAAAGAGCCACAACCATGGTTTGCCCTGAGCGCTACTGGTTCCAAATAGCTTGTGCTCACATTTTTTTCTTTAAAAGTCATGGAACTGCACTGACTTTGGAAAAAAAAAAAAAAAAAAAAAAGAAACTACTAAGAAAGAAGTTGGTAAGATAATAAAGGAAAACCTCCAAAATATTCAATCCTGCTTATTTATCAGGAATAAAACACAACACATCTGAGCAAAATTCAGACATGACATGCAGTAGAATTTTTCACCTGAGGTAAAGTTCAGAGGTAATGCAAATCCATTTGTTTTGGTATTAGTAAGTAAAATTTCTCCACTTGTGAGATATGTCAGTTCTTCATGTCCAAGACATGTTCCCCATACTGGAAAATAATCTCCTTTGTCATTAGCCTTCAAAATAAAAAGCGACAAAATAAATAGAGCATTAAAGACCTACAGAAGGGAGACTGAACAGAACTCACTACTGCTTTTTTCTTTCTCTGGTGTAGTTAAGAAGTAAAGCTACTACAGAACATACTGACTCCCTTAGATTTTCCTTGAACAAATAGGAAAGCTAGAGGATATACAGATGCTTGCCAAAACAGTAACCCAGTAACCCAGTGCTAGTCAGTAGCAATTCAACGGGTCTGTTCTGCAAGTAAGTGATGCTGAGAACTGTCTAAACAGAACCCACAAAACAGCAACACTTCTGCAAAACAGAAGGGACAGAGCAACCTGTCATCGCTTTGAGGGAGAGCCTATTTACTACCACCCATAGTTTTACATGCAGCATCATGATTTCATAGAGAAGGTTCTTTGCAATGCCTGTGGCCATCCATCTGCATTAAGAAAATGTAAATTTTATCATTAGCATGGCTGTGATATTAATGTCATGTCATGAGACCAAATGCTTGCTTAACCAGCAATTTTGGACCTGTGTTCCAGGCAGATAAATTGTGAGTCTAAAGAACATGAAATAAAAAGTGATAGTCATTTTAAAAAGAATTAAAAAAAGGAAGGTAAGTGCAAAAATTGCTAAAGAAAGGAAAAAGGAGGAGAGGGAAGCAAGAAGAGAATAAAAGTAGCTTTCTATCATATAACTAAGCACATATGATGCTCCACACACGGTAGAAATCTGTGTTTTTGCACTGTTTCTTCCTGATAGCAAGCACACTTCAGAAGCTGAGATGTTTCAGATCTCATGTGTTTCTGTGAAATGTGAGTACTCAAATTTTTCTTTCTAGAATTTGTTTTAGCACTGACCCCTTTGAAGAGCTGCTGCTCAAAAAACATTTTAGAAAAGCTGAAATTACGGGCTTAGAATAACAATGTCTTCTGACTGCTGCATTGATAGGGCAGTAATAAAAGCCCAGATAATTACTACTCCTTTGAGCAAAACACGGAAGAATTTTAAAGACTGTTAGTAGTACTGTACAATCTGCAGGACCATTTGTCATGTGTGGCTCAAGATCCAGAACTTGCTATTCTACGGTGTTTCTTTCATGTAAGTGAGGAATAAAACCATTAAAGAAGAAAAAAGAACAGAAATCAGCAGCACAAAAAAGAATAAAATAGTAGTCTATGGTTTAAGAACAATTACAACTGAACCACAAATATTTGGGGTCTCTTAGCTTCTCTTTACACAAATACCAGCCTGGAGACTAAACACAGGTTAAAAACACCAAAGACACTATTTTTAAAAAACAAAATTAAAAGCTGGGAAAAAAAAAAAAAAACGTCAGTTAAGCTTTTGACTAACTGAAGACAATGGTAAAATGCTATTGACTTGAATCAGATAAACATTTCATATCATCTATTCATGTTATAATAGAGAAGTATCAAATATTTTCTCATTGGGAACACTGGAAAACAAAAAGAGCATTTGTACATTTAAAATAAATAAGCAAATAAATAAATAAAATTCAGGTAACTCTGTACTTGCTGATATACTTGTGACTTTTACAACTCACATTAGTGAATCTACCAATCATTTATAGTGATAATTACATCTCAAAAGATTAAAAAACAACAACAAAAAAATCCACAACAATTATTGAGAGGAGGAATTAGAAATTATTAAGATTAGAAAAGAAAGATATGGTAGTAGGTTTACCTACAATTAACTGAAAATTATTTTTCCCCTTTCAATTATCTTAAGGACACATACACATCTCAACTGAGCCTGCCCCTCAAGTTATAAAATTATGGCATATGTAATTTACTTAATTGTTGTGAAATGTCACATACATTGTCACAGTAAGGAAGTTACTACATTTCATAGTAAGGACTGCAAACACTAACAGTAAAACCACCAGAAACCTTCATGGAGACAGTGAACACCAGCACCGCCGCTGCGCTTCACACAGGGAGCGCGTTCACAGGCCCGGGAGAGCCCTCGCCTTGCAAAAAGGGGAGCAAGACTCAGGCTTAAGGCAACAGATTAATAATCACAAGGATGAAAGATGGGGACAACGATGTGCGTGAGTGTGAACGAATAAGCACACTGGTGCCAGAGAAACTGAGTATTAGGGATCTTGAGCAACGGACTGCAACAGCTGACTGGTGCTGGGAACAACATTGCCCAAGTTCTTCCTGCCTGCTATAATAAAGTCCACGGCAAGAGAAGGTAGGAATTCTTCACTGGCAACCAGGGCCTCCTTGTGTAATAGTTTCTTATAACTGGTGCGAGTATTAGGCAAAATTTCCAACGGTTATTTTTGTGGTACCCTTTCCAATAAATTTCAGCTGAAAATAAAGCAGGTAAGGAAAAAGGGAAGAAAAGATATTTCAGTGGCTGTAGCGTACATTGCAAGGAAGGTCATAACATATTATTTAAATTGCATTAGTTGAGAATCTGGGAAATCCTCCTAAGGAATTCAAATTCCACATTTAGACTGAGACTTTTACATTTATTCTGTGTGTGTCTTTTCATTCAAGATTTAATGTTGTTAATATTCCAAACAGCGATGAAGATCTAGATAAAATGAATGAACAAGACTCTTCCCACCCCAAGAACTTGCTGTTTAGGACAATGACAACATTAAATGAGAGGTGCTTGGAGTCTTAATCTTAAAGCTACCAAGGATTTATATGAGCCTCCTGGCAACTCATCTCTGACCAATGACAACAACAAGTACTATTGTACTATTCCGTAGTAATTACCTCTAATGCCTTCTGGTAAAAGATTTTAGCAACCTTGGCATATTTGGAAGTCCTAAGATCCACACCGCCTCCTGGGAAAAGCACCCTGCAAGGCAACAGCCAAGAGTCGGATTAGCCAAAACAAAACAAGTAACCCATCAACCAAACTAAAACCTGGACGATGTGTACAGAAAGAGCTGACTGAGGTTTTAAGGGCATGGTACAACTCTAGACACCCACATTAAACAAGTTTATAGAAAGGCATCTGAGCAACTATTAGAGACAGCAAAGATTTAGCCAGAGAGGTCAGTGGAGCCTTGAACATAGAGCCTGAAGCAGCAGAGCTCTAAGAGGGTGGCTGGCTCAACAGCCCAGCAGGTTGCACTGCCTGTCCTGACCAGCTCTCTCTTACTATGGGAGTTTGGACTGTGCTCAGGCAGACGGACAAATTCAGGTATCTTGATCCCATTCTAAATCTCCATGTGCTTTTACTGAGGAAGGCTTTTTTTTAAACACAAAGTAGTGACCAAACCTAGTGCAGTGTAAGGAAGAGGTGAATAAACAGAAATACATGGAAAATAAAGATTTTACCTGGTAAACAAAAGGGCTGCTTGCTATGACTCTGTCAAATCCTGCTGGGACTTCTAGCTGGTTCTCGCTACTACTTTACAGTCCTAGTTCAAATCTTCATTCCCCTGCCCAATTTCAGTAAAAATAATAATTGCAGCCCTACAATTCTTAGGAGAGTGCAGATCAAAAAGTTCATGTAAAAAGTGGGAAAGTAAAGAACTCTTACACTTTAGCTGTGACTTTTAACTGCAGAGAATCTAATATAGTCAAAAGAAATAGAGCAATCTGAGACAGAATTGAAGAAATATTGCACAATGGTTTTCCATCACCCTAAATGATTTCAACAATGGTAGTACTCAGTGTGCCTACCAAAAATAGAAAGACAGACAGACAGACCAGTCTAGCAGAGATTTCACATGTACAAATGGGGACATGAAAAGTAATCAAGTTCTAATACGACAACCAATAACACAAAATAATAATAATCTTTTCCAGCTGTAACTGGAAGAACACCTGTAGAACTCAGTGTGTGAGCTCTATCCAACCCACTGAAGAGGGGACTTAAACAGCTTTACTCAAGCCACCTTTTTCAGCTGCTGACTTTTTACCAAAAAGATGGAGGATTTCCACTGCCTTTCTGTGCTCCAGAAATGGTAACCTGCACCAGTGAGATGCTAACCAGCACCTCTGGATAAGTAGCATTCTCAAACTGTCCCCAGCATCTGCAGAGTGAACATGTGTTTAAACACTCAGGATTGGGTTAATTTAAAGCACAGAGCTGCCCAAATGAATTCAGGAGAATAGCAGAGCACTAGACACAAACATACACATCACCTTACACTCCATTGCTAATATAGAAAATGATTACAGCTTAAGGTATTCTTAAACTAAGCCAAATTACAAGTTCCTACAGAGAAACAGACAAATAAGATAATCACACATAAAAGAATTAGATAGATAGGGTGATTCTTATCTAGAAGTGGTGAAAATTTCAACTCATAGTTTGAGTGAAAGAAACAGATAATGAATTGCCCAACATTAATTAGGAGAAAAAAAAAAACTGCTTCAGTTCTTCAGGTGCAAGAAGGAAGTAACCCATTAAGCAATGCCTGACAGTGTGATAAGCAAATTGAAATGCAACTAAGTGTATTCCAAATATCTCCAGCTTATTAGTCCTAATGAAGGAGTTCATTGTGAATTTCAAAAGCAATTTCAAAAGTACATTGCTACATTCATAAAACTGCAGTCCTCATAGTAGTACATTAAAGGTTTTAAGAAGCCATTTTGTAATAAATAAAATAATTCCAGACCATAAAAAACCTGGAGCTGAAGTCTTAAAACATGAAAGATGAATATATATATTGTTTATCCTAAATTTCCATAGTAGAGAAAGATCTTCCCACGGAGGTCTTATTTCCTATTTCAATTTCCTTATTTACACATAGCTCTATGGTGAAAGCCATTAGCTGACAGCAGAGGGCAACATGAGGAAACATGCACCAACCCTGCCTACCTACACAGCACAGACCCCGCTCCAGGCCACGGGAAAGGCAGAGGAAAAAGGGCAGTGCTTCCCCACCGCCCTCCTCTGCACACAGGAAGGCAGAAGGAATGGGAGCTCTTGCAGCCAAGGGCAGATTTGCAGTCATGAAAAAGGGATGAAATAACTCGCTCTGTCTCCAACACAAGACTCTTCACCAGGGAGGAAAAGTCACTTTCTTAACGTCGCAAAGCTGTAGAGAATCACATCGTACAGGGCACGCTTGGGAACATAACAGACAACTCTTT